CACTTCATCTAGAACTAATGATGTAATGTATGGGGATTAACATAAGAATAAAAAAAAAAATCAAAAAAAAAAAAAACAGAGTCCCCAGTCACCTGGGAACTGGCAGGTAACCTGGGAACAGACTTGAGTGCTACAGGGTGGTCTTGCGGGGAAATAATAATTCAAATACAGAACTCTCCAACTGAGAGATATGCAAAGTGCTTTCCTTTTGATTGCGTTAACATATGGCCACACAGTAGTCCCAGCTATGATCTGTGCTTTATCACATTCCTTGAGAAATCTTCTACAGACAATTATACTAACACAGCCAAAAGATAGGTGTCTTAAGAGGGAGCCAAAATTGAGCATTCCCAATCTATTCCTTGGGAATCTACATCCCAGCCAATATCCTAGAGGAAAAAAAACCTTTTTAGGTTTCATCAAAATAGTTCTACCAGTAAGGGCTCCTAGGCCAAATGACAGTCCTGTGTATATACTTTTTAAATTACTACAGTTGCTCTAATCCCCTCCCTCCTTTCACTATATCCTCAGCTGAACTGACAGATTAGTTTCTCCAGAGCTCCAACACTCCACTATTAAAAACTATGCCTCTGGCTTCCTGAATCAAGCACAAACCCCTCTGCCTAGCATTTAAGTAGGCGTCTCCACCATAAAAGCCCACCATATTCTATCTTCACTACCAGACACAAAACTTGCCCCAAATGCAACACTAAGCCTTGTTCCTTGCCTGACTTGAAAGCTCTTCTGCCTTCTCTCCTCTCCATTTGCCATCCATAGCCTTTCCATTCTTTGTGGGTCACCTCCTCCATGAAGCATTCTCTAACGACATCACAGGCACTGATTCTTCCTTCAGTCAACAACTATGCATTAAGAACCGCTTCTGTTCCGGAAGTTGAGAGGGCTCCTTCCTCCCAATTCTTTTTGTCCCCATTGTCTGTGACTTACATTTAATACTCTTACTACTGTCCTTGTCTTCCAATATGTCACTTTATATTTGTGGAAAAGGATCTCAAATGTTTTATTTACTAGGTGGTTCTTGTGTGCAATCTCACCAGTGATTGTGACTTGTAGGTGATTTGTCTTGGGAACCAACACATACACATCTTTTATACCGCCCACAGCACATGACAAAGGGCTAAATATGTTGCTATTAATTGGTGTTAAATACGTTTTCACTTGCAAACTTCGTGAATACTTACTTTTGTGCCTTTCATAGAGGGACAGAAGGAAAGAGAGAAGAGGTTGACATCCCTGGAAGTTTTTTCAGTTGTCTAATATTGTCCTTAACTATAATTTGTTAACAAGTATTTCTGGAGTTCCTATTATGTGTCAGATACAGATACACAAATATTCGATTATGGTAGAGCCTTAATCACAGCCTTAATTCCCTGGCATATTGTTTTCTGCACATAGTTAACACTCGATAAGTATGTGTTGAGTGACTCTATGAATGTAGCCTCCTGCTCACAAGCAGCTCATATTTTAGCAGTGTAGGGGTAAATGGGATATAGGTGATTAAACAAGTAGATGAGCTAGATAGCGTGATGACTACTATGGAGAAAATAAAACAGGATAATTAATATTATGCAGTTTGCCAATTTGGGTCTGTTTTTTTGGCTTTTTGTTTTTTATCAACAGAGTCAAGCGACCCCATCAGCATGGCTTGGTGGACAAGAGGGCACTCTCTGGAGGCAGATTTCCCGGGGTTCACAACCCTGCCTTCCTCCCTCGCTCTGTGGCTGTGGACAAACTACTTAACCTTTCTGGCCTCGTTATCCCCATCCTGTAACAGTACCTACGGCATGAGGAGGGTTTGAGGACTAAAAAGAGTATGATAGGCAAAGTATTTGGTACTGTGCCCGGCAACCCAGGAAGCCTTTAGGAAATGTTAGTGAGCATCACGGCCGTCGGGTTAACTCACCTGGCGCCAAGGGGAGGTGAGAACCCCAGGCGCCCTCCGTCCCTGAGCTCCCTGCCCAGATCCTCGCCCCTGCCAGAGGCAGGTTATCAAGCAGAGGCAAGCTGGGCGGAGTTTTGACCTTGAACTGAGGTCCTAAGAGGCCGAAGGGTCGGTGCCCCCTGTCTTTCTGCGAAGACGTACGGAGAAGGGCCGGCGGGCAAAGGCTGCGGGGTTCGGGGTGGGCGGCGGGGTCCCCAGCTCCTCCCCCCGGGCCGGAGGCCTCGAAGGCTCGCACCAGCTCACCCCCGACGCCCTGCAGCGGCGGGGGATGGGCCGGACTCTCCCTCAGCGCCCGCCTCTCGCAGCGGCGGTTCGCTGCCGAAGGGGTAGAGACCGCGGCGCCCCGCACCTCGTCGCCCCGCCCTCAGGCCAACGGTCGCGGGCGCACAGCCCTCCCGGGGCACGAGGCCGCGGGCGGGCCCGC